GCTGTTGGTTCGGTTTGAGTGCTGGAATTATTTGGAATTTGGGGTATTATTTGGAATTTTGGGGATTATTTGGTCTGGCTGAGTGTTGGTGCTAAACTGCTTCAGTTTAATTAGTTTTAGACTTATTTAAAACCTGAGAATTCCAGGTGAAAACTGGAATTTTAAGGGAGAGAAAATAATTTCTTCATCCAATTTGGCCGTTGCCCTTTGGAGGAGGAAGGAAAATATCCTTAAAGAGGGATTTGACGTGGATTTGGTGTAAAAATTACACAGTTTTGGGGTTCTATAATATTCTTTAATGCTAAAAAGTTCAGGAACAAATGAGAAATATGGAAATATTTCTTTGGGTTTTTTTCTGTTACCAGAAGAAAGTGGTTTTGTCATCATTAGTAGTAGCTTTAATTGAAATTATTTTTTCTAATTTTATAGAGATAAAATAGGAATAGAAGCTCAAAGTCTGGGTGGTAAATGATGAAAACGATTTGAAAGTAATTAAGAAGGAAAAGAACTAAAAAATAACGCAAATACTTAAACCTGGGGGAGAAACAATTTTTCAAGGTGCAAAATGGTTTTAAAATATTTGAATTAATATTCTTATGACATTTATCTAAAGGTGAAATAAAACTGCCGTAATTATTATTTTTATTGATGACATTTCTTTAAAGGCAAAATAAAAATATCCTAAAATTTGGAATCTTAAGACCATTCACATTGACCATCCACCAATTAAATTATCCAGCATTTCTGGCCTGATTGTAATATTTAGGTAATTATTTCATTCCCCATTCCATTCATAAAAGGAATATTTCAAGGTCTGTTTGGACCTTAAACCTAAATCTGATCTTTTTCCTGGTCAAATCACCTGGGAGGAAATAAATGGAATTAATACTTAAAGGCTTATTAAAGGCATTGACCCCACAAGGCTTTAGAAACTCAGATTTTTTTTATCTCCTGATGTAAAATTAGTTAAATAAAACCCCTATAAAGACACACATGGCCCAGGAGTGAGAAAAAATATAAGAAAAAAATTTAAAAAAAAAAAAAAAAAAAGAAGAAATGAGAGAAAAAATAAGGAGTGAGAGAAAATAGATGGAAACCCAGCAACTTAAATTTAAAATTCAAATTTTTTCACTTCTCTGCTGCTTGACTAGGAAAAAAAAAAATCGAATTTTATTCGTATTTTTAGCTTCGAATGTGTGTTTTGGAGGCAGAGAACCTTTCCCTGCTCCCAGAGAAATTCCTGCAGGAGTTTTTCAGGGAATTGCTGCATTTTGGAGCTGAGTTTTTTGGGGTTTTTTTGGGTTTTTGACAACCCATTGTCAGCTTTGCTTTTTTTATTTATAGCCCAGCAGGTTTTTCTCTCTCCCAGTTTCTGTTCCCTCTGAATCTGCCATCTGGTAGCAGGTCCAGAGCTAAAGGTTGTGCTGAAATCATGGAATATTCTCCTCCCAGCAGGAATATTTGTGTCAATATTCAGGATTTAAGGGCTGCAGGGAAATGGGATATTTGGGATTTTTTTTCTCCTTTATTTTTGATTAATAATTTTTTTTTTATTCTGAGAAAATATTGGATTTGGGGTTTATTTTTTAAAAGAAATAATGTGTATCCAAGGCTTGTGGCGGGTGCCTCTCCTAGAGCTGGGATTGTTTTGTGGAATTTAAAATCCCCCAGATTTATAGGAGGAAAGATTTAGGAAATTTAAAAAAAAAAATCTGTGTTTATGAGAGTAAAAATTTATGAAATTAAAAAAAAAAATCACAGATTTATAAGAGTAGAAATTTATGAAATTTTAAAAACCCCGATTTAATGGGAATAAAAATTCATGAAATTAAAAAAATCCCAGGTTTGTCAGAGTAAAAATTTATGAAATTAAAAAAAATCCCAGGGTTTTTAGGAATAAAACATTATGGAATTTAAAAAATAACAGATTTACAGGAGCAAAAATTAAAGGAATTTAAAAAAAAAACCCATGGATTTATAGGAATAAAAATTGGTGAAATTAAAAACAATCCCAGATTTATAGGAGTAAATATTTATGAAATTTTTTAAAAAATCCCCAATTAAATAGGAGTAAATATTTATGAAATTTTAAAAAATCTAGGTTTATGAGAGTAAAAAATTATTGAAATTTTAAAAAATTCCTGATTTAATAGCAATAAAAATTCATGAAATTAAAAAAATCCCAGGTTTGTAGGAGTAAAAATTTATGGAATTTTAAAAAATCCCCGATGTAATAGGACTAAAAATTTATTAAATTAGAAAAAGAACAAACAGGTTTATAGGACTAAAAAGTTGTGGATTTTAAAAAATAATGGGATTATAGGAGTAAAAATTTATTAAATTAAAATCCTGGATTTGTCGGAGTAAAAATTTATGCAATTAAAAATTTATGCAAAAAATCCCAGGTTTGTAGGAGTAAAAATTTATGAAATTTTAAAAAATCCCCAATTTAATAGGAATAAAAATTCATGAAAGTAAAAGAATCTCAGATTTTTATAGGAGTAAAAATTTATGAAATTTAAAAAAAAAAAAAACAAGTTTATGAGGGTAAAATTTGCCTCTTTTTAATATTGCAATAAAATGATGTTTAGCATCGAAGTGGTGACAGCAAAACTCCAATGAAAAGGGGATAAAGAAGCCTCTGTTCATTTCCATGGAATTAGGAATTACTCCTCGGATCCTAATGGGATCAACGGGAAAAAATTCAGTGCCATAATTAAAAAGGATTTATAGATCAAAAAGATTGGGCCCCAAATTCCAGCTTTTTAAACGGCTTTAGTATTTCAAATTGATTTATTTTACCCATGTTGTGCTTTTTTTTCACCCCTCAGCTTTCCCTGGTGTTGGAAGGTGTGAAATCCCTATTTTGCCTCGGCCCTGCTCATTCCAGGGATTTCTTGGGTTTGATTTTCCCCACCTGGACAACTTGGGGTGGTGGAACTTCCCGTGTTTTGAGAGGGTTTGGTGCCGATGGTCCAAAACTGCAATTCCCTGGGAATTTACAGACCTATGCTTGGATCTTCCAAGGCAGTTTGTCCCTCTGGAAAACCTGGCAAGGTTGGAGAGGCCGTGGATCCAGGATTCAGTCCGGGTGTTCATTCCCCCTCTTTCCAAAGCAGGAATATTCCACGGAAGTGCAGCAAGTGATTTGGCCACAGCCAAGGGGTTTTGTTCATCTCTTGTCCTGTTGACTTGGGATGTGGAATCCTGGAATCGTTTGGGTTGGAAGGGACCTTAAAGATCATCCAGTTCCACCCCCTGCCATGGGCAGGGACACCTTCCACCAGCCCAGGTTGCTCCAACCTGGCCTTGGACACTTCCAGGGATCCAGGGGCAGCCACAGCTTCTCTGCCCAACCTGTGCCAGGGCCTGCCCACCCTCACAGCCAGCAATTCCTTCCCAATATCCCATCTAAGTCTCCCCTTTTCCACTCTGAAGCCATTCCCTGTGTCCTGTCCCTCCATGCCTTGTCCCCAGTCCCTCTCCCGCTCTCCTGGAGCCCCTTCAGGCCCTGGAAGATTTCCCTGGAGCCTTCTCTTCTCCAGACTGAACATCCCATATGAGCAGGAGGATCTCAGCACTCAGGATCTGATCCCAGGTGGGCTCTTCCCTACACAAAGAACGTGCTTTTCCCTATAAAATGGGATGCTGGAAGTGCCTTGGAGGATGAATGAGGACGAACCCAAGGCTGGCACAGCAGTAGGAGACCCTGATCAACACTTAAATAAGAACAGGATCAGCCCACAACAAGGAAAAAAAAATTGTGACCATCACTTTTTTGCTGCTTTCTGATTATTTTGCTGGGAATTTCAGGAATTTCCGATCTCTTTCCTCTTGTTTTCCTTAGAGCACCATCGCCTTTTCCTCGGATTCCACCTGTGCCAGCAGCACCTCGTGGGGTCCCAGCTGTGCCCTCAGCACCAAGAGACGGACACGGATGCTGAACAAAGGGATCCAGGCGGGTGAGTCCCTGAATTCCAGGCTTTTCCTCCTGCCCTTCGTGTCCCTGGAAACCCCTCTCCAAAATCCGGGTGTTTCTGGTGATGGGTCTGTACAAGCAGCACCCTTCCAATTAATTCACCGCCGGAGAAAGGCTTAAAGGCGCCAATTTAAAATAAACTGTTTAATTTCCGTCCTTTAATAACCAATCTTCTCAAAATTGGTTAAAGCTCTGCTTTAATAACCAATTTTCTCACTTTTCAACTCCTCCACCTCAGTTTTTGAGCCGCTTTCAGCAGCAAAGGTGAACCAACTGTCTTTTTTTGTACATTGTTTTTTTTTTTTTTTTCCTCCAGACATCTGTTGCTCCCAGAATGTATTTTGCAGGCATGTGCTATTTCAGTGTTCCATGTTCTTCCTGGTAATATTTGGGATGGTAAATTCTATTTAAAGCTGACCCTGGCCCGGTGCAATTCTGCGTTTGGGGGTGGGTGTTTTGGGTTTTTTTTGGTGCTAATTATCAGTTTCTTCGTTGCTTTCATTTACACCCCAACTCCCCATCTTCACATTGAGGAACGGCCTTGTTTTATTCATCAGATGTATCAATTATTTATTTTTCACTGCCTTTTTTTTTCCCCCCTGTGATTCAATCAGAAAAGCATTTTCATGGGCCATAATTTTGAATTGAATCAGAAAAGTGTTTTCCTGGCCCACAGTTTGTTCAGGTTTAATTCCCACTTGCCCCATATAAATGTACATTTTGCTTTGTGTGTTTGGGTCACACCACTTTAATTTCGCTCTGATTATCACCCTGTGACAATCCTGATCGCTGGAAACTCTCCTTGATTTGGAAGTGAGAATAATAAATAAAAATTAAAAAAAACCCAACTAAAACGTTTTGACTTTTTAAGGTGGGGGAGAAACCAAACGATTCTTCAGCTTCTCATTAAAATTAAGGGTCACCCCCAGCGCTTCGTGTGGCACTTCCAGCTGCTCTTGGAATAAGAAATTCCTGCTTTGTTTGCAATTCCAGGAGACCTGGAGATTGTGAACGGTGCGACCAAGAGGAACACCCGAGATGTTGGATTGACTTTCCCAACGCCAAGACCCGTCCAGCCATCCCAAAGCATCCCTCGGGAATGCTGGCATCGTGTCCATGGTAATTTGGGGGTGTTGTTTTTATATATATGTTTATATTGAATAAAATTTATAGAAAACCAACGCAAAAATATTTTTATGTCTCTATATTCATTTTTATATATGTATATATTTATAATATAGATTTAATAAAGACATTTTAGACAAAACCACTGCCAAAAATATTTATATGCCTGTATATTTATACATATATATTTATATATTTACAATATGTATTTAATAAAGAAAATTTAGAAAAAAACTGCAAAAAAATTTTAAAAATTAAAAATTATATCATATATGTTGTATATAAAATGTATACAATACTCAGTAAGTCAGTTCTTACTCTGATTTAATCCAGAAATTCGATACAAAACCACTGCCAAAAATATTTATATATATATTTATAATTATATACTTAATAGAGAAAATTTAGACAAAACCACTGCCAAAAATATTTTTAAATTTTAAAAAAAAAAAAATTGTACTTTATGTTTTGTATATAAAATTTATACAGTAATCAACAAGTCAGTGCTTACTCTGGGATTCCTTCGGGAAAAGAACCATGGCAGGGAATGAACAGGACACACCTTTGTCTCCCACTCTTCATTCTCCCCCATACTCTTTCAACAGGGACTTCATGGTTTGTCCCAGGAGAAGGCTTGAAATCCGAATCTAGGAAAGAAAACCATTCCAGTGCCGTTTCTGGCCCTGGGCCATCCTGGTTCGAGCCCTGGACCAACACCAAGCCCTGGAGGGAACCGCTCCGGGAGAAGAACTGGGAAGGGCAGCAGCACCTCGTGGTTCCAGCAGCAGCTCCGGACAGAGGGGCTGGGAAGGGGCCTGTGCTGCCCTTTGTGAAGCTCACGCTGCAGGTGAGGGACCCTCCACTCTGGGGCTGCTGAGATCTCCGGGGATTTAGAATTCTGGGATGGTTTGGGTTGGAGGGGACCGTAAAGATTATCCAGTTCCACCCCTGCCTTGGGCAGGGACACCTTCCACTAGCCCAGGGTGCTCCAACCTGGCCTTGGGCACTTCCAGGGAATGGGCTGTGGGTTGTTTCAAGGGTTGTGCTGGATCTTTTTGTTCCTTGTTTTTATTTCCCCTCGTGTCTGCAGCTCCCTCAGGAGGGGAGGGAGAGGCCAGCACTGCCCTCTTGTCTCTGGTGAGCAGGGACAGCACCCAGGGAATGGCTGGAGCTGTGTCAGGGCAGGCTCAGGGTGGATCTCAGCAGAAGGTTCTTCCCCCAGAGGGTGGTTGGCACTGCCCAGGCTCCCCAGGGCAGTGGGCACAGCCCCAAGGCTGCCAGAGCTGCAGGAGGGTTGGGATGATCCTCTGGGGCACAGGGTGGGATTGTTGGGGTGTCTGTG